ATCTCTAAACAACATGCAAACACAATATACATTGAAGTCCTTAACATGAAGAAATATTACAGACATGAAAATCATTACTTCGATTCTTCTTTAATCATAATAAAGAACATGTTTACTTGTTTTCTCCGAAAATATAGTTATGGGGAGAGGGATTTTTTTAATGATACGTATAGCTCAAAAACTGCAAATTGAAATTAGGATTATTTTTTAAAAAATAAACAGGTTCTACCATTTTTGCAAAAACTCCATTTTTTTTTTATAATGAAAGATACCTTTATCTCCCAAACACGAAGTGGACATTTTAATCACTATAAAGTGCATTATTTCTTCCTCCTAACACCAGAAGTTTTCTAGAGGGATATCACTAAAAAATTAAGAACATTTTTTTTTTTACATTTGTCATCTCTGTCTAAATATAAAACAACAATTTATTATTAAAGTAATTGTAAACTGAATATAGATATATTTTTAAAAAATGCATGCCCCAATCATATCTCAGCTAATTTTTTCTCATGTATGTGAAACACTGAGAATTCATGAAAACCTACTGAGCTAGCCAAATGGGCTCGTAGAAATGGTGTGATGATTCACACAGTTATAAAATTTCTGGAACTATCTTAATTAAGATATGGCAGTTAAATCAAGGTATCCGAGGTATCTTAAGCAGTAGTTGAGTTAGACCACGAAAGTCAGTATGGATACTCTGTCCCAGATCAGTTAAAATAAAAATTATCTGGGGGGTTTTTTCTGTATTTTTGTAGCCAATATACCAAAGGAAAGTAAATTATTTAGAGTTTGGACAAAAATATTTTTTTTCTTTTAAAAACAATTGTACCTTAACTCCTAATCCACCAGAGAAAATCTTCAGGCAGCATCTAGTTATGCATAAAATTGGTTTTCTAATTTGTATTGTTGTTTTTTTTTTCAAAGAGCTCAAAATCTCCAGTCTGAACTCCAGTCTAGAAATTGGCCAACTGTGTGTATTGCTGGTTGCCTGGATCAAAAAGAAAGAAACTTTGCCATGGAGCAATTAAAGACCTACAAGTGTCGCATACTGATATCCACTGACTTGGTAAATTATTATTTATTCAAGTCAAATGTAAATTCATAGATGTTAATTTAAAAAATGCACCTGTGAAACTCTGAACATAGTGTAACTTACAACATATATTTGTCAAGAATTGTACTCTGTGTAATGTGTATGCCATAAATTAGTGTAGGATATTTTTTTTTTAAAAAAACAACTTAATTCTACTTTCACTTTTGAGTATTGCAGACCTGGCTAGTCTTACAATTTTGGAGTACAATGTAGGACTTGAAATTGTTTTTTACAATTGTACACTGAGACCTGTCAGAACTACGATTTTGAGAGACTTGGTTTAAAAAAATATATCAGGTAGTTTTTCCATTGAAAAGAAAAATAAATTTTCGGTTGTTAGTTTATTCTCCTTTCTACACCTGGCAGTGAATGGACAGAGAAATATCATGGTTATGGACCATCCATAATTATATTATGTACTCGCTGAGAGGGAAAGTGATGGACTGTTGTTTAGGTATTTGGCATAGGCATAGTGTGCGCATGGGGAGGGAAAGTTGTCTAAATATTTTTTAAGTTATTTTTTTTAAATTATAAAAATAACACACCACATTTCGTAAAAATGGTGATGATTGTCATATTATTGCTTTGTGTTTTCACAATATAGTAGCTAGATATTGCAATATTACAACTTGTTAGATTTTGCAAATGATGTTCACATTTGTAAATTAAGTTATTTTCATGAATTATTTTTTTTTTATGCTGAACTGCCTTCGAGTTTGAACCATTATATAAGTAACTTTTTTTTTTACCACTGTGCATACACACACATATTAATTGATATGTATAGCAGATATACGCCGGCGAAACGAAGTGACGGCAGATCACAATATAAGCATCAGTCATCTGCTTTTGGGAATTACCTTTTTTGACATCAATTTAACCAATCCAACTTAACTTGTGTTTAGAGTAGTTATTGTATATATTTATTTTTGCTTATTTATTTATTATTACAATACGACTGGGGTGGACAACCCACGGCCTGGGGCGTTAAATGTTGTGGGCCACCGATAAATAAACATTTTGTTTATTCAATTTACCCTTGTTCTGTAAGGCATACCATCCCTATTTTGCTGTGATTTTTTAAATTTTCAATTCACATTAATGATCTCAAAACTTAAATAAAAGCTATAAACCAAAATGACTATTTTAAGTATATAGTAGCTACTAAAAAATTTTAAAAATTGTATAAACACACAAATGTCAAGGGCATCATTATTTCCCCTAGCATTTGGATTGTTTTTCTCAGATTGATACTTAATCATTAAGTATAGAATTATGCAAAGCTTATTTCAGTTATGCATCCTTGCATTTTGAGTTTATGAAAACTTTTCTGGGGAGGGGCTTGTTTATTTGGTATTTACCAAATTTGATAGATGTAGTGACAAGAGGCCCCCGAAGAATTGACTAGCAATTAAAATGGCTGATAAAGCCATTTGGGTTGGCCACCCCTGTTGTCAGATAATGTACGATTGTGATTTGGTATAGTACTATTCTGAGACAATACTATTTTGGGAGTTCCAAGGTAACCAGGTCTGGTATTGTAAATAAATTATTGTAAGAAAATGTGTATTTTATTATCAGACTTCAAGGGGCATTGACGCTGACAAAGTAAACCTTGTTATCAACTTGGATGTACCAACTGATCATGAGACGTACTTGCACAGAATAGGAAGAGCAGGCCGATTTGGTAAGACTATGATAGAATATATATTTTAATGCACTCATTAATTACAATTTTCAATTAGATTTTCTTTTAATTTAAAATTTAAATTCAAACCAAAAAAAAACAAATTTTTTTAGGTTCATACGGTGCGGCAATCACTATTGTTTCATCTGGTGGACAAGATAAAGAACTGTGGGCCATAGAAAAGAAATGCAAAACTCATATTCAGAAATTGCCTGGTAAGAATTTGTGTAAGGTACAAAAAATTATTTATTTTAAATCTTCGCTTTTATAAGATATTTAGTCTTGGAACTGCAAGACTGAAATCTTTAAAAAAAATTCCTTATCTTTTCTCACTTTTGTTTTCTTCGGGTTTTTCCATTTGCCTGCTATTACACATACACATAGTTTTTCATGATTAATTTATGATTTTTTTCACTCAAAATATAGATGTTAAAAATGCTCAGCACAAAGATGGTTAGCTCATGCCCTTAACATCATCTCCTACACATTTGTTTTTTCTAGATTATGCCCTTATCATCATCTCTTATGTATACAGAAAACATGCTCCTTTAATTAAATTTATTTTTTAAAGTCATTCAACTTTATTCCATTATTTTTATTTTGACAGATCCTATACCAAAAGACATAGTAACCAAAGCTGTCCAGCTTAAACTTGATGATATTGTCAGTAGTGAGCAGATTGTCAACAAGCCAGAGATAAGTTTTATATCTCCTGAAGTGACATCCTTACTGGTCAACACTGCTCAAAGTCCTTTCCTTAAGGACTCCAATAATGAAACCATAGAAGACACTGAATATAGCAATAAAATGCCATACAATGAAGGAAGTACACATGCAGTACCTGGTGCAGTAACTGATGATCAAGTTAATAATACTTCTCTTAACCCAGAACACGCTAAAGTAGATTCAAAGCATCAGAACAAGGAAGAATCATGTAATTTGAATGTTTCTCTTAACTCAAATGCAGACAGTTACACTGAAAAAACTATTCTTGTCTTAAATGCTGATAGCACAGCCAGTGTAATAGCTGGCTCTGGGGTACCTAAAGGAATCAATAATTTTGATGGAGAAAAACATGCTGATCAGTCTGAACTTCCAATTTTGTATGCATCTTCTGGAACTATTCATTGCAATAATTCAATGTTTTTGAAGACATCATCTGAGTCAGTGATCGGTTCTATACATATTTCATCCAGTGCACTTTGCTGTTTCATGTGTCATAATGAAGTTTGCACTTGTTTAATCAGGAAAGATGAACTAGCTCAGGAAGAAATTATTAGTGACTTAAATAATAAATCTATTTCAAATAATTCATCAATGTGTATAGATTTAAATGATTTCAACAGTGAGTCCAGCTCTAAAGAAACAGAAAGTGTTGTGTATCATTCAACTAATCATTCCATACCTGTTTCTGGGAAGACACAGAATAAAATATTTCTCCCAGAACAAGATATAAAATCCATTTCTGCTTTCAGTGACTGCCTATCTAAAGATATTTTAAGTGAAGCGGCCAGTGAAGTCAAATATAAAATTGTTGATAGTAAACCAAAGGGTTTAGAGAATTCATCATCAATAGAGACACCCACAATCGCAAAAAATCATCAAGATTATGCCACTATACTTCAAAATGTTTTTTATACAATGAAACAAGTAAATAATGATGTTCATACAACAGGATTCAGTGTTGAAAGAGAATTAGTAGAGGCCAGTGTTTTGTCAGCAGTGAGTGAAGCCTCACATAACGAGTCCCCAGATATTTCCATGTTGAAATCATCCCCCAAAACTTCCAGTGTAAAGGAAAGTAGCAGACAGAAGATGAAAGGTTGTGATGAAATAAGTGAGGGAAAATCGGCTATTCCAGTGTCTTCAGATTGTCTACTAGACCATTTGGTTTCAGGTGTTACTTCCGACATTTCAGTTAAGGATTCCGTTACATTCATATCAAAGGAGGAGAAAAGTGTTAAAAACATTTTAACAAATGATAGCTCTGCTGCATGTTCTGATCTCATTGAGGTCCAGTCGTCTGAACAAAAATCAGAGGATCTCAAAATCTGTAGGCTTTCTTCAAATTATTCAGACAAAAACAAATTTTTATCTGCTGATAAAAGACTTATTGATTTTGTCAAACCACAACAAAGGAGAGGAGCTCCAAGGTCATTTGCAGTTTCTGATTTCTTGCATTGTGTAAATGAGGGTTTGGGTTCCTTCAGGACCATGGACATTGGTGGAGGTGGAGATAGAAAGGAAACGATAGATTCAAATTATTATTTAACAGGAAAAAAAATTGAACATAAACGAAAAAGCACTGCCTCGGTTGAAAATGATGAATTCACTCTAGCTCAGCTTGTAAAAGATTGTAAAGAAAAGTCTTGTCACGTTGTGCCAGACATGGATTCAAGACAAGAAATTTCCAACAAAAGTACAAGCTGCCAGTCCGATATGATCTCAAAAGATAATGACAGTGCTGAAGCTCACAGGTCTGACTCTATTGAGAGGAAAGCGTTAGAGATGTTGGATCAGTATAATGAGGAGAATATTCGAGAAAGTGACAATGCTTTTCTGAAATCAGCAAAAAACAATTTCAAGTCTAAACCAAAGGGAGAACTTAATGTGGCCACAGAGTTAAATTTCCTTCTATTGGAATCATTAAGGGGGAACAATCATGCTGCTAAATTTGATGAACTTGTCAGAAAGCACAAGGAGTTTTGTGAGAACTTTGTAAGTAAAGGTTGTGAAGTTCCAGAGATGTCCGACATGAGGGGGCTGTTAGAGATACAAGAGTTTAAAGAGACTGTGGACTGGCAGGATGTGTGTGATGATAATAATTTCAAGTTGGAGAAGATCCATTTACAAATTAATGAAAAGTTGCTGGCTGTACAAATTGAGAGGAAACACAATCTTAATAAAAATGTGTCTACATGTATAGATGAAAAGTTAGGTGCATGCCAACCTGACAGCCAGTCAGAAACTAGAAAAAATGACAACCAAAAATACAGGCAGGAAAAACAGTTGGAATCAAGAAAACGAAATGAAACGACAAGTAACAAAAAATATAAGCCATCCCAGTGCAGGGAAAAACAAAATGAATCATATGAAGATGATCTTCATCAGTACAAAAATTTTAGGCAGGGAAAACAACTGGGTCAAGTTCAAAGGGGAAATAACAAAAGACCCGTCCAGAGGAAAACAAATTTTGATGATGAATTTCATTCTGTCGAAAAAAAAATGCCTCGAGAACAGGATGATAAGTTGATAATTAAACAAGACAGACTCAAAGGTGTTACTGCTGTGAACTTGGTGTGCAACCAATTGGGCAAAAAGCTTTCAAATTATAAGCATGGTGTGAGTCATAAGAAATCAGATGTACCAAATACATCCAGTGGAGATTTCAACACTAATAAAATAAGTCATAGAGAAAAAAGCAATGAAGAATTTATGCGCCTGGATGCTATGCATGCCAGAATGCTAGAAAAAAGAAAAGAGCAAAGAGTTGGAAACGTGACTCATGACCAGAAGTCAAACTTGCTCAATGATCACAATTTAACAGATGGGAACTTAGAAAAAAGTAGTGCAGATAAGCAAGTTGAATTTAAAGATAATAATAAGCCAAGACATGTCAGTGACCTACAGCAAAGTGAAACTTGCCCAGTTATTGAGACTAACAAAATTAGTAGGGTGTTCAAAGATGCTGAATGTCAAGAACTAGACAACATGCATGAAACAATGTTGAGAAGGCGCCAGGAAAGAAAGAAAATGCTGCAGGAGGCCAAAATGGCATCACAATGTAAAACTATTTGTGAAAACCCTGGAACATTGACTGCTGTTGACCAGAATGTCACTTCAGCCGCATTAACTGTACCGAGAGGCAATAAGCTGACAGTTGGCCTAAAGGAAGAGAAAGTAAATGTTGGTGCAGCATTGATCAATTTACATGGGGAAAATGATGGCATTACAAATGATAATTCACTAAAATCCAAAATTAGCAGTTTCCAGAGTGATCAAATCTCAGCAAAACCTAAATTTAGCCACATGAAACAAATTGAACTTGAAAGCAGAAAAGACAAGACAACTTGCTCAAAACCAATGATGAAAGTCAAACAAAAACAAGGCAAGCCCTCAAAGTCCAAAGCACGTCTGGCTGGTTTGGAAGTGTCTGATGGTTCCACATCAACAACAACATCTAATATTAGCTTGAGTTCAACCTCAGAAATTTCTGATGTCAATCTGTCAGATCTGGAACATGAGACGGGTGCCATCCTACAGTCTCAGTGCTACGCCAACAGATATGCTGATGAAGTAGGTCATGGTTTAAAAAACAATTCTGGAAATTTAAAGAAATCTGTCTTATCAGGGTCTGTATTAAATTCAAGCTATGAAGCAGTAAACAAGTTGGGTGGTTGTCAGGGTGCTGGCAGCCTTAGTTATTACAGCCCAGATGAGGGATATTTGAAACACTATTTAATCTCCATAGGGAAAATGAATACGCGTAAGTATTCATTTCCTGCAAATACAAGAAATCCAATATTTAATTATGATTTGAACAATGCAATGTCATCCCCTCAAAATACAGAAAAATCTCTGCCTGTAAGTAACACTGACTATTGTGAAAGAATCTCCCCTGAGAAAATATCCCTTGAATCCAAGTTTTCACAAAGCATATCCAAAAATTTAGAATATAATACAAAGGAAGCTGTGAATGACAGGAAAATCACAAAGATCAAGCAACCAGACTCAAGGACACAAGGAAAGAAGTCAAAACATTGCAGAGAGAAAAAAAGGAAGACACAAAAATCTGAGAAGAGATACCTATTAGCACAAGAATCTTCTGGGAGTGCATCAGAAGATGAATGCTCATCCTGCCACCAGCACTATCCTCTGCTTCACCCCTCATATTGTAATTATGGATATGGTTTTATCCCATCCTATCCTCATTCTCAAGTTCTTCAAGGAGTCCAACATCCATGTTTTCCATATCCTCCAGGCTATGTGATGTCTCCATGGCCTGTAATGACACACTCACCATACTCATATTATCTCCCTTATCAGTACAATAGTTTCTATCTCAGCCAGCCTTTCTCACCTCCTTCCTGCCCGCATCCTTCCACTTACTCCCAGTCAGCAACTCTGTATCATAGCTACATTAACTATATGACTAAAGTGCTTTGTAGTATGACCAGAAAATTCAATAGTGGTGAAGAGTAATTTGAATGTATTTAAATGTTTAGAAACTTTTTGTATAGAAATTTATTGACCCAGGTGGAAATTTTTAAAAATTCGTATTTTTTTATTTTAAAGAATCTCAGGTAACCTTATTAAAATTTAGAAACTACATCTTCTTTAATATTACTTTCGGAAATTTCCTGAAAGATATAAAACTTAAGAACCATATGGACTTGTTCTTCTAGAATCTAATAAAGTCATCCATAAATGGTTTTTAACCTTTTAAATCTTATGTAAATTTGTCACAGTGGGCAAAGGGAAAGGTTATTAAGATGCCAACTGTCTGTTGAAATTGTTATAAGGGCCCTGCCCCTAAATGTTAAACTCCTAATTGGGATAGGGTCAATCAGCATCAAATAATTAAAATCTTACTTTTTTAAGTTGCCCATTGAAATCTCTTTTAAATAACAGAGCTGTAGCTGTTGACATTAATATAAAGGCCCTTGCCCCTAAAGCCCTATGAAGTAAGGGACTTTGGTCAAAACATTTGCCAGGGGAAACAATCTAAATTTTAAAAACCTTCCCATCTGAATCAGTTTGCTGACCAAACAAACCCTTAAATATACATGATGTCAATTCTAGAAGAAGAAGTCCATATGGTTATAATTATAAGTATAAGTGAATTATTGTCAGTTTTGGGTGAAATTATTTTATTAAAAGGCCATTCCACCCTGAGGATATTCTTTTATTACCCCTAGATTTTTAAACTAATTTTTGAACATCAGCAAATGAGTTAATATTAATTCTGTTTTGTTTTTGTTTTGGTACAAGCTTTTTCAAGTTTTCCCAAGGTGTCCAATCTAATAATCATTTTAGTAGACTGGGCCTAACTATAGCATATAAATATTTGTTAAATTCTAAGTTAAAATTTCAAACATTTTGTGTTAGAAAAATGTCACTGGCAAAATCCTGCTCTAGCCATTTCATTGATTAATTTCTGCATTTAATATTTGTTGAAATCATCTAGAACAGTGGTTCTCAACCTTTCTAGTGCCGCGACCCCTTAATACAGTTTCTCGTGTCGTGGCGACCCCCCAGCCACACAATTATTTTCATTGCTACTTCATAGCTGTAAGGATATATGTTTTCAGATGGTCTTAGGCGACCCCTGGAAAAGGGTCCCGCGACCCCCAGGTTGAGAACCGCTGATCTAGAAGTTATGATGTGTTTACAAATAAAATATCTGAAATAAAAATAATCCTTATTTAGTGTTGTTTTTTTCTTCAGATAAATGTTTGAAGATGCTATTTTAATATAATCTCATAAAATTAAGATTGTAACGTAACATGCTTACTGCAATTGAAATTTATTTACCAAGGCAAAAATAATTTCTCAGTGATTTTAAACTATCCTGAAATATTTTTAATATGAAATATAATATGTATCTGTGAATAAGCTTATGCTTGAAATTGCCTCTGTCAAGAGCCATGTTCCACATTTTAATCATAGAAGTGATGGAATGTTGAATTCAAAAAACCTGATAAGCTCAACCTTGTAATGGAATGAGCAAAGTATGAACAATATTTATCCATTTATAAAATGAAAACACTAATTTTTAGTACTGAAAATGACTTACGCTTTAAATAAAATTGTCTCAAATGAAAGATGCTAGTCTGTAGCTCATTTTATTGGGCTAACTAACCTATTTTATTGTTAGATTTTTCTCATACTTCCTTTCATGTTATTTCACCAAAACTTCTATGACCCCCCACCACCCCTCCTCTTTTATATACAGTGGTGCATAAAATTACATAGCTCAAACCTCATGTTCAGCCCAAATATTGAAAGAGAATATTATTAATGTTAAGCAATAATCAATGCTAGTACTTTAATGTATAGCACTAATCAATGCTGGTACTATCACAAAGTTCCTATAACATAAAATAATTGAAATTAAATTCAACTAAAGTAAATGACTAGGGGAAATAAATTGAGGTAATTATATTTAAATGGAGAAATCACTAATTTTCAAAGCTGTACTGCTAGTGCTTTCAAAGGTGCTTAAGTTAAAATTAGTTGTAATAGTAAAAGTTTCAACACAATTTGCATATGAAATCATGTTTTATTTCTATAGAGAAAGCCACCCCACTTCGAGCATTATTTGAAGAAATCTACTGAAATGTCCTCTCTTTCTTTACATACAATTCTTATATAACATAATGATTTGGGAAATAAATTGTGCTTTTATAAGAATGTCTCAAAAGTTATTTAACATAGTTTGACATTCCATAGATTTCTTCATGTTAATATTTATATTAAAAGAAGTAAAATGCTGTACACAAATATTTACAATGCTGCAGTATCAAGAAAAGACAAAAAAGGGTTATCATTTGAGTTTACATGTTAGCTACCAACAGGTGCTTCTGTCACTAACATCCCAAATTATGTTTGTCAATGCATAAATTAGGATTGTTGCTGTTTTAAGGTTGTTGTTGTTTTAAAGGTATTCAGTTAAAAATGTCTAGAACTTCTAGTAGAAATGAGCCAATCAAGTTTCTGACAGCAACTGAGGCCTTATGTGGGCAATTTGATTAATAAATAATAAATTTTCTGCTTTGATGAAATATTTTTTATAAACTTCTGGAAACAGATAGTGCCACTTACTGTTTTTAAAAAACAATAATTGAAAATATTCATTTGTTAAATCTATTTTTGTTATATTTCATTTCAAAACTCAATTATGAATACATCTTTTTTAAAAAAAAGAACATAATATATAAATTATAAGATTATTAAGATGTCCAGAAATACAAGTTTTTAGTTATTAAATTAGTATACAGTCTATCTTAGACTGTTGAACATTAAATCACTTACAATGTAAAACTAAAATAGAAGAAGAGATAAATAAAATGACAAAAATAAAAAGTTCTGTCCCTTATCAAAATTATTACAACCTTAAATTTGATCTCCAGTTACTGTTACAAAACCTTGTAATTATATTTTCTGCTTAAAAAGTGTTTAATGAGCTCACAATTTTAGGAAATTATAAACTTCTAAAAAATATCAAAATAATTCTTATGCTTATCCATTCATTCACAAACAAAATCAATTTTTAAAGACCAAACTATCAATAAAACATTTATATTTCATCTAATTATCTTAAACATTATGCATAATTTATTTCAAACTTTTTTTAAACATTTTAAATTTTTAAAAAGGCTTTTAGTAGTTTCAGATATGAACATTGAAAGGATGAATACATTAAAATCTCTGTAACCACCAAATTCCAAAAAGAATCATTGTAACATTAATTTTAAACACTCTTTTCATCCCACAACATGTTTGCAACATAACTCAAATCACAATGCAAATATTATAATTTTGAAATGTATACTTTAAAACAAATATATACAGTCTTTTAACAAAAAAAGTTTTTAGGAAGATATGAGGCTTTTAAAAATAAAAAAAATAAAATAAATAAATATGATGCAGTCTTTTATTCAAGATAAATTACTGGTGGATTGCTTTACTTATAAATATGTATTGACGTTAAGAGTATTGGACAACACACAAAATAAATAATGCATGAAAGGAAATGCAAACGTACGAGGCCAGAAGAAAACTATATCCTAGGGTGACGGTACAATAATATATACATTTATTTCGAGTGGAATGCCATAAGTTAACATGAGTGCATAAACTACAATTGTTGCAGTTTTATCAAAGCACTTATGACACAAATATAAAAAAATTCATCCCTTCTCATAATTTTTTAAAAAATAAACTGTGAAAAGCTCTGTAATCAATAATGAGACAAATTTAAAGTTTACTATGCATTCTTATTTCCATATTCTCAATTTACACAAAATAAATGTTAACATTTCAAATTTCAGCAAATTAAGAGGATGCAAACCCTAGTAAATTCTCTATTTGACTTTTGAAACTACTACTGTATTCGGCAAAATTACCTGTAGTTCAAATAAAATTGTAAACCTCAGCAAGATATTAGAATTACAAAATAAAGCAAACAAGAAATATGTTAGCTAGCATTTTTCTGTTACCAAATTCAATAATACTTATCTTTTATATAAACTATTAAAATATTGCAATTAATAAACAAACAATATGTATTTTAAAATTTACAAGCTGTGTGCAATAAGTTAACAAATAAGGACTCAGCAGTTGTTAGCCATATGGTTATCCAGTTTTTAAAAAATTACCATGAGTAATTTTGTTAAATAAAAGAAAAATCTCATAAAGGTATAACTATAACAGACAGATGTGCCTTTCCTATGCAAAATTTTAAATGAAAGAATAAAGATAAATTATTGCAGATACTGTATTCATAAAGATATCAATATTATATTTTTATTAACATGTCTCTTAACACTATTAACATGTTCTGTAAACTTGTTTAATATTTTCAAATTTTGTCAATCACGGATTAATCTGCAACATATTTCACATAGTAGATTGGCAGCTGACTGTTAATATTGCAACTTGCTAAGAAATATAGCAATTTAATATTAATACAGGTCACATTTTTTAAAATTATTTTATAACAAGATATTAAACAAGAAAACACAGCAAATATGATTATAACTGAAATTTACCTAAAGATCCAAAACAATAGTTCTTCATAAAATGCATTTTAAAAAAGAGATATGAAGGATTACAGTTATGACTAAATTTTATATATAACCTGTAAAAATACTTAACACAGAAATTTCAATATGATATTTCATAACCTAACAAAGATGGTGAAATTGAAATTCATGACCAATACCTAAACTGAGTTAATGGCTTCAACATCCTAAAAAGCTACAATTACAAAAGTAATTTTAATGTATTTCTTAAATTGTTCAATTATTTGGCAAGATGTATAATATGAATTTATAAACCCCTCAGTGCTCACAAGAAACCATTTCCCCCATTTATAATTTTTTTATACTGTTATTAAGATTTACTGGTATATATACATTACAAACAAAGCAAAAATTGGATCACATAATATGAAATACCACAAGTTTTATAAAATTTAAAAAAAAATTTTTTAAACTTCCTGCAGTACCAATATAACAGTAAAATTTTATCAATTCCAAACAAAGCAAAGATCTCACACAAACTCATGTCCATCCACTCTGACAAGCATGTAAAAAAAAAAAAAAAGGAAAATTTCTAAACCATCTCTGAAGAGGTTGATTTTCCTTGTTTACCGCCATCTTTGAAGTCTGGAATTGGAATTTTGACTGCTGGTAGAGTGTGTGTTAGTAAAGGTTGATGAGCAGATGTAGGACTTAATGGAGCTGTGGGGCTAGCTGCCCCCTCATCATCTAAACTTGGCCAGCTAGGTGTAGTATCTGGTTTACTCAATCTCTCATTCAATGCTTTCAGTGCCAGTTGCCTATGGTTAAAACGGTAAACATTTTTTAAACATAAAATAATGTGGTGAAATTTTTTTAACTACTTTTAATTTGATTTACAAAAGGATCACATTCATGAACAGAAGAAATTGTCTTGATATCCACTAACCTTTCTGAGCTACTTTTACTCTAGTTATTTGTTTAAAAAAAGTTAATCTTTTTAAAATATCATATAAAAATAAATATAGCTTGACATTTTTAGATGACATTGACATAAGTGTATAATTTAAAAAATGTGCTAGTCTAAGATTAAATAAAAGGATTATCACGTAAAACAATGTTAAAAAGTGTAGAGCTATTAAGCGTCACTTTTAAATTAAAATCAAATCCACAGGAAAATGAGGACAACCACAGCAGGTATGGTAAATAAATGGAGTTTGAGTTTTGAAAGCACAATAATATTAATAATAAAGATTTTAGATTCAAGCAGTTATATCTAATTTTGTTATCCAATTGTAACTATAATTTTCTATCGTAAGCTATGGTATTGAACAAGTAATCCACCTGTTACATCAGATGAAAATTTAAAGAGATTTTATTGCTTTGAAACTTTAAATTAATTAGTGAGCTCTTGTAAAATCTCGTAATTTCTTCCAATTTCATTTTATAGCACAAATTTTTAATGTCATTTTTGATTGTCTTATTCTTTTAGGTGTTCCCTTAGCTATTGAACTTTGCTTAAGGCAAGATACCGTACACTTACGTGAGGTAAAATTTAGAGAAGGGAATGAAATTATGTAGTCAAAACTTAATATGCAAAAATCAAATCAAGCCAAACTTAAGTTAAGTAAAATACAAATGGAGCAAAAAACAATTTGAAACTAGATAAGGCCTAAATATCACTTAGAACATATAGTACTCACTTTCTTCTTTCTGCATCATGAGGTTCTGTGCCTGGCAAGGTAACTGTGATCGTTGTTGGGGAGCTGACATCATATCTTCGCTGTGGTTTCTTACACAATTTGATTTTTACAAACCCACTAAATATGGAGTTGGAGATAACAGCAATCAAAGGCTGAAACTGGCTGGGGAAAAAACTGAGAAAAAAATATGTATAGTAACAAAGCCCTTTTGTACTATTATAACCTACCCTTTAAATTAGGCCAATATTTTAAGGCATATCCATTATTTATTAAGACTATAACTATAGTCATAGTGTATTAGGTATGTATACTATTAAAATATTAAAAGATTCCATGGTGTTTTAAGAACAAGTCAACATCAACAAGATTACCTTGCAAAACTAAAATTATCAGCCATGTCTCCACGATTTCCATTTGTATGCTTCTGATAAAATCGCAAATAAACCCAACTGACAACCATTCCACTTGCAAACATATAGGGATATGGTCCAGGTAATAATCCAGCAATCCTCATCAAGAAGATTAATATTAGCAAAGTCAGGGGTATGTGTGTATTACGCAACTTGCCAAATGGAAGTGTTGCCAGGCAGTGGTCAGGCATTACTTGTTTGACAGCCACACAAAATCCTGCAATGTACCCAGCCAATCCATAGATGTGCACTTCAAATAAATATTCTTCATTGAGAGTTACCAAATAAATGAAAATGTACAAAAAAGCTGTAGCTATCCCTACTCCAATGTTTGTGATGATAAAAAATAGAAGCATGTCTGGTGCTCCCCAGAGTGGTTCAAGTAATTTTCCAAACAGGACAATGACTGCAACATCAGCTAGGACATGCCAAAAGTGCAGTTCCACAAAGCAGTAGAAAAAAAAACTGTAGACACGAAAATTGGGTGGCATAACATAGCCAGGGGTGATTGTTATATATGGAATTGCTGAAGAAATGAAGGAAAACAAGTAGCCAATAATAACTGTAACAGCTACTGCTTTGACAACTATGCTGCTTTTCCCAACAGCAGCTGAGAAATGGTCTCTGAGAATGGGCAATGGTGGAATTACCGAACCAGTGCCCCTCGTAAGTTTACTTTGAGAGGTGGAAGCCGCCATCTTGTTATGAACTGATGTAGTGACGTCAACCGCAACAAGTTGGTGACCACAACACAAAAAAGTAAATCCAACACTAAAACTCACTAACGAAACAATTTTAAAAATTGTTTATTTTAGTAACATTTATTCCGTTCTCTACAATCATGCTCATATTATATGAACTTGTGGTGTGTGGCGAGACTGTCGTTGACTGGTCTAGTTATAGTCTAGCTGATTACCGGTTAAATTTTTGTTTTTTTTTTGTTTGCTTTTTTTCGGAAAATACGTTTCAGTGAGTTGAGTAAGCGTGATAAATTGACGGTTCGTTTTATTTTAAAATAGTCAAATGGAATATTTCTAGTTTTATGTCCACACAGAGTCGTTGCATGCGTCCTGCAACCCCTGGGCCTCGCATATAAAAGGGGCCACAAGTTGTGATGTGGAGGGGGAGGGAGGGGGGGGGGGGGGGAAAATTAATATGACGCCTGTGAGGGGGGGGGGGGGGGGCGAAAACTGGTAAGAGGCCCTAAATGTCACGAGACCGGCTCTGCCCCATCAGAGCCGCCGCTTGACGTTTTGAAGCCCCCTGCCACTCTTCAATTTGTGTTATTTAGTTTAACTGTTAAATGCTATTACTTTCTATTTAGAAAATTGTTTATATCCGAGGTCCCTTGCAACCGCGGTGGTCTGCCACCACTGACCATTGCTGGCATTACCCATCCTTTTGATCGAGGGCTCTACAAAATGTACAGATGTATTGGATATTTAATGTCACAAGTAAAATCTCTAACATCTAGGCCTACACTATATATTTAATATATCGAAAGTTCAAACATCCACCTGGGGGGGGGGGGGGGGGGTAGTCACCCCACAAATTATTCAGGAATCATTTTATTAAAAATGACAAGAAGAATTTTTTTTTAATGAATCATTGATGATGTAATCAAGTTGGTGACAAATATAAAGCTGAATAAATTTAGTTTATACTTATTTTTTTTAAAAAATCAGATTCACCCATTTCATTGGAATTATTCTGAATAGTATGCTAAATTTGGTATTTGATTTTGTTAAATTATTTTGTCTGCCGCAGTGGCGTAGCTAGAGGGGTGCGGACCGCACCGGGTGACACCATATCAGGGGGTGACACCAAATGGAAAAAAATGCACATTTACAGAGAAAAAAAACAACTGCCCAACCGAATTTCATAAGAGGATAACCGATCACAGGTAAATTTTCCACGCACGTAACCAATCCACATGCGTGCTTTATTAAAAGCTCAAGGTTGATGCCTTATAAATGGGTGATCCTATAATTAGATCACAAAAACACCGTTTTGACCATGATTGAAGTGTTAGGTAACCTTCGTAAGTGACATTACCCTATATGTATCTAAATTCTGAGAAATAAAGCTTTCCATTGATACCGAATACGATGTGGTCAAGCAATTCTCAGTACATGAATCGAATCGGTAAAAATTAAACACTTTCAAAAAGTACACTCTACCCATTTATAGAATTAACAAAATTATATTTTACAAAATTTTCAAAGATCATTTATTTAAATGTAAAAAATGGTTTTTGAATCAAAATATATTAAAACTAAGAAATACTTCAAAATAAATATTTTCGCAGGTTCGCCATTAGCCCTGCCCCTTAACAGTTGAGCACTGTTGCCGTGCAGCACAAGGTCTTTTACATGCTGTCTGTGATTTCACGTTTATCTGCTACATATCCATTTGGGGTCATTTACTTAAGGAAGTTAATCTTATACAGCAGTATCTGCAGACCAAAGGTTTTACTCTTGACAAAATGGTGACGAACCTAGAGGCCTTAAGATTGTTTCTCCACGAGAAGCTCCGTAACTTTTTGGAACATGCTACTGAAAAGGCACTTTTAAAATAAGATCAATATGGAATTTCTGTAGAAAGAAGATTAAGGTTTAAGAAGAGAATGGCAGGAGAACAGTTAATAGAGGCTGGACTCTCTCTTTCTGAAGGAAACAGTATAGAGATGCTGGAGTGTATTGATAGCTTTCATTCTGGACCTAAGATCATATCATCTACGATCAAGAAAGTAGCAGATATGTTTTGGGCTGTTCAACCCTAGAGTCTACTGTCACCTAGTGAAGAAGAGTTATTGATGTCCGTTCCCAAATTAAACTTTTTCTATGTTGAAATATCAGAAGATGAACTTTTAAAAGATATATTAAAGCTTAGAAGACATCTAAAGGCAGCTGATATTGAATTTCACAAAGTCTTCTCAGAATTTGATGTTTTTAAATTCCTAGAATCTCTTCCAATACTCTCACTAAGCCTTCAATTGTTTCTTACGGTCTGTGTGTATGTGGCTTCATGTGATGAGAGCTTTTCAAAATAAAGGCTTATCAAGAACTATTTATGATCCACCATGAGACAGTCAAGGCTTTTTGATCTGACTCTAATATCAATTAAAATAGATACGGTGATGGATATTGATTTTGCTGAAGTGGTTGACAGGTTTGAAGCTTTGAAAACCAGGAAAGGCAAATTTTTAATAAAGTAAATTTAATGTAAAAATAACGATAATGTAAAACGCTGTTACAGTTCTTTTAATACATTGACCTTTGACCTCCTGAACTTCAATTATTATTTTTTTTTTGTTTCTTGTCATTGTTATACTGTGGACTTAATTTACAAGGAGAAATCCATCGTGGAAGTCGAAAAAAAAAAGGGGGGGGGGGTGACATTATTAATTTACCGCACCAATTTACCGCACCGGGTGACACCATGAATTTACCGCACCGGGTGACACCATGAATTTACCGCACCGGGTGACACCATGAATTTACCGCACCGGGTGACACCATGAATTTACCGCACCGGGTGACACCAAACCTAGCCATTGAGTCTGCGTGCATGTTGACTTTCAATTTTCAACAATAAAAAATAAATATTTAAAAAATGGCAAAAATGTCCTAAAATACTTATGGATTATGTAGCTTAGACCTTAGGGTCAATTTTCCAATGGTGGAAAGCGCTGGACGCTGGAAAAGTTTCTTTGAATAGGGCGTGGGTGAGTCCAAATCGTCTGGGAACCACTGGTTAGCATACATAGCGACAATTCGTGGCGTTAAAAAAAAACTCAGTGCTAATGTTGTAAGCCTTGTCAGTTTGAACAAACAAAGAATACCGGTACACGATAGACCATGTTCAACGTTGGATCTGTTGACATATGCTACACCAGATAACACTATTAGAGCTAATTATATCTTATTAGATACAGCTCGCCAAACATGAGCGACAGCAATGCGTAACTTCCCATCTTCTAAAGTTACTTGACAAAACATGAACTCAAGTAACGCACATTTAAGAATCCCAAATTTTGCTACACCCCTCCCCCCCCCTCACTCTGAAACCCATTATTTTCAACCTTTCAATACCACCAAAGCTTATTTTGCCAACGCCCCGCTACTCTGTTGCCCCGGGACGTATGTCCCAACTACAACGCCTTAGCTACGATTCTGGCCACTGGCAGCTGGCACTCCCCACACTCCCACGAAAATCTCCAATGCCTTCCCGGGAGGAAATGTCAGGGAAAAAACACTGAAAATAAGCTTTTCCAGATTTGTATGGATGCCAAGTACGGACACAAGGGCTCAAAGCAAACGGAGGGATGTCATTCATGATATTTAACATCGTTCTCGAAATCATTTTTTTTTACAAACTATTTTGAATAGTTAGCAGAATAGCTGTTTCACAAATTTCCCTTCACAAGAAGCATGTCATCAATAAAGGACATGCTCGATCAATGTTATACGGACCAATCACGACATCTCTCAGAGCAGTTATTTTCAGCTGAGATTTATCAGCCCCCCCCCCCCANATACAATGAGTTTTCATACAATGAAAGTTGCATTATTAATTTGGATACTAGCACTGGGGTTGGGACCAACCGAAATGGCGTGGATATTCATTTATTAATACCGTATTTCCTTGTCCCTCTTACAATTATTTCAGCAGAAAGACTATCGTGTTGGGGGGGGGGGGAGCTGGTGTGGAAATGGAACAAAGAACCGAAGAAAAACTAAACAGTCTAAATTAATGTGCATATTAAAATATGTATGGGTAGCTACATGTATAGCATCATAACAAGTGCCCCATAGCCTACGTCGTAATTGGAAAAAGAGCGGAGCCATACAAAGACAGGGAAGAGGGCGCCGAACGGGTGCTTCGCACGGGGCCAACGTTTAACTAAGGCTTAACTTTGGCGCCCCTTATAAGCATAATCATTAAAGAAAAAACGAGTTATTCCGTCATGATTTTATTACCTATGTTGTTTTGTTAAAACAAACAATGAACAGCTCACTGTTTGAAAAAACAACATGGGTAATAAACTCGTTACAGAATAAATATTTTTTTTTCCTTTAATGATTATACTTATAAGGGGCGCCAAAGTTAAGCTTGCACAGGGCGCCAGCAACCGTCGGGCCGGCCCTGCTCTCAATACCAAATATGCTGAATAGGAAGCAATCCATTAGGAAGCAGTCCACGAGTCACACCAGAAGCTTATTAATATATATAAGAGATGATAGGGACATTTGACTCAGTACTATTTTACATATCTGATCTGGGGACATAGGACTCGGGACGAATTAATATAAATGGGCACGGGCAAATATATTTACTAAAGACCCCCCCCCCCCACCCTTTTCCCCCAAATCAGCGGTGGCATCTCAAATTTCCAGAACGGGTTCAACAGAGGCAGAAACAAATTATTGGGATTTACATATCAATATGGCGGCCGAGCATTTTTCAAAATACTTTCTCCCTATTCATCCAATGTACTGTCTGTATTATTTTAGAGTTTCCACAATTTCAAATTAAAAGTTCACGAAGGTGTTAATTTTAATTATTTTTATCCCAAAAGTTCTATAATTTTTAAAAAAAAATAGTTGATCTCCAAATAATTATAAACGAATCCCTAATAAATTGGCTTTAGGTGCCTCTTTGTTTTTTGTCAATGCTGTTCGTTTTAAAACAATGAGTCTAACAGCGTTGTGGCCACGGCA